GTGAAGTGAAGTGAAGTGAGGTGAAGTGAGGTGAAGTGAAGTGAAGTGAGGTGAAGTGAGGTGAAGTGAGGTGAAGTGAGGTGAAGTGAGGTGAAGTGAAGTGAAGTGAAGTGAAGTGAGGTGAAGTGAAGTGAAGTGAAGTGAGGTGAAGTGAAGTGAAGTGAGGTGAAGTGAAGTGAGGTGAAGTGAAGTGAAGTGAAGTGAAGTGAGGTGAAGTGAGGTGAAGTGAAGTGAAGTGAGGTGAAGTGAGGTGAAGTGAGGTGAAGTGAGGTGAAGTGAGGTGAAGTGAAGTGAAGTGAAGTGAAGTGAGGTGAAGTGAAGTGAAGTGAAGTGAGGTGAAGTGAAGTGAAGTGAGGTGAAGTGAAGTGAGGTGAAGTGAAGTGAAGTGAAGTGAAGTGAAGTGAAGTGAAGTGAAGTGAAGTGAAGTGAGGTGAAGTGAGGTGAAGTGAGGTGAAGTGAGGTGAAGTGAAGTGAAGTGAAGTGAAGTGAAGTGAAGTGAAGTGAAGTGAAGTGAAGTGAGGTGAAGTGAGGTGAAGTGAGGTGAAGTGAGGTGAAGTGAAGTGAAGTGAAGTGAAGTGAAGTGAGGTGAAGTGAAGTGAAGTGAAGTGAAGTGAAGTGAAGTGAAGTGAAGTGAAGTGAAGTGAAGTGAGGTGAAGTGAGGTGAAGTGAGGTGAAGTGAGGTGAAGTGAAGTGAAGTGAGGTGAAGTGAAGTGAAGTGAGGTGAAGTGAGGTGAAGTGAGGTGAAGTGAGGTGAAGTGAGGTGAAGTGAGGTGAAGTGAGGTGAAGTGAAGTGAAGTGAAGTGAGGTGAAGTGAGGTGAAGTGAGGTGAAGTGAGGTGAAGTGAAGTGAAGTGAAGTGAGGTGAAGTGAGGTGAAGTGAGGTGAGGTGAGATGCGCACTCTAATCCCTGCAAGCATTCCACCCCATCTCCCCACCGCACCTGTCGCTGCAGCCGCCACCACCGGGATGTGGGCCCGCAGCAGTAGCTTGCATCGTGTGGCATCCCAAACGCCCTCCCAATGCGCTATCCCTTGTGAGCCATAGTCCTCATAACCCCTCTCTACCCCTTTCGTTCACCTCACCTGTCGCTGCAGCCGCCACCACCGGGAGGTGGGACCACAGCAGTAGCTTGCATCGTGAGGCATCCCAAACGCCGCCTCCACCCACGTGGCGCTGCCAGCTGGCCACGCCACGTCAGCAAGGAAGATGGCAGCGTAGTAGATCTCGTGGTAGTACGGCCTCACGTCGTCCGACACGTAGTAGCTCTCCACCTGGATAGATACCGGGAATGATGGGTGGCAGGGATGGGCGGCAGAGTGATGGGCGGCAGGATGGGTGACAGGGATGGGCAGCAAGGAAGAAGGAGGCATTGTATGAGTATATCTCGTGGTAGTCCGGCCTCACTTCGTCCGACACGTAGTAGCTCTCGACCTGGACTGGCAAGGAAGAAGGCGGCATAGTATAAATAAGTCAAGGCGCCTCAAGGATGGGCGGCGTCGTAGATCTCGTGGTAGTACGGCCTCACCTAGTCTGACACGTAATAACTCTCCACCTGGATAGATACCGGGCGGCAAAGTGGTGGACGGCATGTTGGTGACAAAGATGGGCAGCAAGGAAGGAGGCACACTATGAGTGGATCTCGTGGTAGTATGGCCTCACCTCGTCCGACACGTAGTAGCTCTCCACCTAAATGCCGGGCGGCAGAGTGGTGGGCGGCAGAGTGGTGGGCGGCAGAGTGGTGGGCGGCAGGGATGGGCGGCAGGGTGATGGGCGGCAGGGATGGGCGGCAGGGATGGGCGGCAGGGATGGGCGGCAGGTTTTGGTAATAATATGGCAACAGTTGTGTTAAGAACGATGATGAGAACCGAAAGAGTCTAAAGAAACCACCAGAAAGTGGTGCTTGTAGTTGAAACCAACCAAATATCCAGCTGAACTTCAATACCACTTTCAGGCGACATCCCCCTACCCCCCTCCTCCTCCCTCGTTCTGCACCTGTACAGGCTTATAGCCCGAGGCGATCCGACGGTGGAGAGCATCTTGGAACATCTGACCGTCGAGATTGAACACCACCACCCAGCCGTGCTGTTGAAGACAAGAGCGGGAGAGAAGGAGAGAGGATATGGGAGAGCGAAAAGGTCAGAGGAGAGGCGTTCGCAAAGGAAGCTGCGAGGAGGATTCTAAGGGGAGGAGAAGCGCTTTTCGTACATAGTACATGCAAATTTACTGTTAATGGATTGAAAGGAGCTCACGGATTTGGAATTGGGTTGCCAGAGGATGGAGAAGTAAACGAGCGGGCGGGGAGACGCGACGGCATATGCGGTGATGAAGGCCGGCACGTGGGTGCGCTCGCGCGAGGAGACTAAAGCCGGCAGATCGGACGCCTCGACGCGCGAGTCGAGGATTGGTCCATACCACGCGAACCAGCCGCCAGGGTAGGTGCGCTCGAAGTAATCTGTCTGTGCAGAAGAGATACCGGGACCCATAAATAGACAGGAGAGAGGAAGAACGAGTTTGGCGAAGATTAAAAGAACAATTACGTGATTTCCTGTAGGCGAATTGCGATGCGGCGCGAGTCCAACCCACCGGAGCTCCGTCTCTCTCGCGCGCAGCGCGTTGTGCACGCGAATTCGCCGCGCTAGGCCTTCCCGTAAACGAGAACTCAAGAGGTCTCAAGCGGCCTCGCACGTAACCGCTTGAAAAATCCTCTCTTCTCGTACGGTTCTCGCCGCGACGCGAGATTCCGTGTTGGGTCAAGAGAGATTCTGCGCCCCATCCGCCGCGGAACGCGGGGGCAGATGATACACTTCGAGGAACGGTCACAATGAGTAGCGTTAGCGGCAGGTAAACTAGAACGCAGACAGGGAGGAAATTCATTCGAGACAGGTTTCTCCGGAGCGCGCGCATAATCGACGGTTCAAGCCTCCCAGGCTAGGAACTTTTCGTATTATGGCGGAGAATTGTGAAGAGGATGAGAAATGGGCGCGATTTTTCGTGAACGTGGATTTGTACAAGTTGGGAAACTCGATATTAGCAGTAAATGTAAGATATACTATGGAGCTACATTGTACAAGAGCTGGATGACTAACATTCAAACAGGAGCGGTAGTGGTGGCTTTGAAGGGGTGCCACCGTACTGGCTGGCGACTGTTGACGGCGATTGTTGGCATGTTGGAGAAGCAGTGATGTCTGTCGTTGACTCGTTGGCGAAATTCGTGCACGCTCGCATCTCCCGAAAAGGCTTGTCAGGTAGTCTCTCTTGCTGATCGCAGACATCGCACGTCGTGAGTCCGGTTGGGAAAATCGCTCTGACCCCTAACCACGTCAGCAGCACATCACAAACATCAATCGAGATTCCCAAGGTATCAAACCACCGCTCTTACCTTTGTAGCCAATCACTGCACGAGATATCCCTGCCGAAGCAGGGTACTCGGCTCGTACGTGAGGTGGGGAGGAGCTTGCATTACGCCCGCCGTGCTTGGCGCTCATGCCGAGAATTGAGTTTCAGCGAGGCTCCGCGCCGCCTCTGTGCCAGCGTCGACATTTCCAGTTTCGGAATGGCCAATGACCTCCGAGACGCCTCACCCGTGTGAAATTTGCCGAATTTCTCTGCAACCAGCCCCCTTCTATCTAACCCCTCCTTCCCCCATCTTGCATGGTAGCTGTCTTGGGTGTGCGTGCAGCCCAGAATCTCGATGTGGTTGTCAAGTCAATCGATAACGCAAACATAAAACCGTTTGATTTGTCAGGGTACAAAGGCAGCTTGATCAAAGCAGTCGACTAGAACACTCCATACATTAGTTTAAGAATCACGCGCAAACTTCATGCAGACTAGCGCAAGAATCAAAACTCAAACCACATTCGGTCGGTGTCAGGTACGCCAGCCATTTTACCGCTTGTTTACGAGCCAAGAAATTCTGTGCGGACGCGAGTGTCTGCCTTCAACTAGTAGTGCCACAGGGCACTGAACGTTACGAGCTCAAGGTAGAAATTCTCGACTATGGACTAACGCGTCGCTCACAAACGAGTCGTCAAAAGATCCCGATTGCGCGTTGAACTAGCTCCTTACCGATACAGCTCCCGTCTGTCACTTGCCCTAATCATCCGCACATCCCTGACCGCCTGCACCGCTCGTTTAAATCTTAGCAGACTAGAGCACCATAAGGAGTTCTACTCTCGATAAAAGCCTCTTCGATAAAGGAAGTACTCCGTAACACACTTTGGGATTCTCAAAACTTCCGTCATGGCCATTTACGCGGCGAATCTCTGCTTTCTACCACCCTTTCTCGCCCTGCCGTCACTGCTTCAACACCGTTCCGCCACCCTCGCCCATCTCCGCGACGGCGACGACGGCGACGGCGCCGGCGACGAGACGTATCGCACGAGCGACGGAAGCCGCTGCGACGAGTCTGGCGCGCGTGTCTGGATTACAAACCCCCTGACGAACCCCCTGAAAAATCCCCTGATGATGCCGATGCTGGAGCGAGAACCGTCCATGACTCACACGACCGAGTGCTTGCACGCGAATGGGACGGCGGAGAGGAAGGGCCGGCGAGTGCGGTGGGGAGACGAAGCGGGCTTGTCGCTTACGGCTATTCGAGAATACGAGCCAAGGTGCGTGTTACCGTCAAGGTGTGTCAATGGTAACATTGATTTGACACCCTAAGTGTGTATATCTCTGTTAACTACCAAGGTATGTGGCAACCCCAAGGGTGAGTGGTAACTTCCAAGGTATGTGGTAACTCCCAAGGTATGTAGTAACTCCCAAGGTATGTGGTAACTCCCAAGGTATGTGGTAACTCCCAAGGTATGTGGTAACTCCCAAGGTATGTGGTAACTCCCAAGGTATGTCGTAACTCCCAAGGTATGTGGTAACTCCCAAGATTCTTATCCTCCCTTTCCCCCTCCTTCCGCCCACCCTCTCTCCCCCACACCTGCGACTTTGTACGCATGCAGCGATACGAGACACCCGGATGACCTGGCGTGGTGGGAGATGGAGGACGACGATGATGACGTGTGCAGCTGCGCCATGCAGTGACGGCGGACCTGGCGAAGCTGCGCCATGCAGTGACGGCGGACCTGGCGAAGCTGCGCCATGCAGTGACGGCGGACCTGGCGAAGCTGCGCCATACAGTGACGGCGGGGCTGCTCCGAGGGCGGAGCTGGCGGAGCAGCGCCGAGGCCCCAACGCGGAGCTGCGCCTTGGATTGGGGACGGAACTGCGCGCTGCGCCCTTTTTCATAAACAATTTCATGGCACTTCTATACTGTTACTACTGTGCAATAAGCACAGCACAGAGTGTGCATTATGCACTCAACACTTAGCACACCTTTCTTTTTACACGTAGTGAATGGACCATGGACATGTTATGGTATACTGAGAGAGTGCAGATGAGGAAGATGGAGTGAGATGGAGCAGGGTGGGGCAGTACACTATATCTGTTGTCTTCGACTGGGCGAGATTCCCTAACAAGCAACTGGATTGGAACAATTTAGCTGAGGAACCCATGTGATTTGAGCCAAGGCTTTAGGATTTGTCTAAGAGATAGATGGTAGTGTACAGCACCAAAAGATTGGAGCATATGGGTTACGATGTAAGTACGTTAATTTTTTAAACACACCCAGTAGGGAGGTGTTTAATTCGAAACATTGTGTCTTCGGTTCTTTCACCTCGTGTTCAGAGAATCCTAGCACCATCGCTTATATCACAAACCATCACCATGCTATCTTTCTGACATGCAGCTGCCAGCTCAGGCTGTCTCCGCGAGTACTCTTCCGCCACGTGGCGTGCCACGTCAGCAACCTTCTCTCGCTCCACCAGCGCCACACAGCATCCCCTGAAGCCCGCTCCGCTGAACCTGACCCCGAGCACACCCGGTGTGGCCAGAAGGATTGACCGTAGGTCAATGAGTGGTGCACTGCCTGTGGTTTGAGTAAGCACAGGGCAGCGAGTGGAGGGAGGAAAGGATAGAGGGAGGGAGGAGGGAGGGGAGAGAGGGTAGCAGGGAGAATGAGAGGGGCATGAGGATGGAAGAAGAGACATACAGTAGCGGCCACAGCAGCAATCTGCCTGATGCCTTCTCTCGCTCCACCAGCGTCACACAGCACCCCCTGAAGCCCGCTCCGCTGAACCTGACCCCGAGCACACCCGGTGTGGCCAGAAGGATTGACCGAAGCTCTATGAGTGGTGGGCTGCCTGTAAGGGAGGGTAGAGAGGGGGCACAGGGATGAGAGAGGCGTGTGGACTGGAAAGAGTGGTAGCGGCCACACAGCACCCCTGAAGCCCGCTCCGCTGAACCTGGCCCCGAGCACACCCGGTGTGGTGAGGAGGATGGAGCGCAGCTCTATGAGCGGTGGGCTGCCTGTGGTGGGAGAAAATGAAAGAGAGGAAGGGATGGACGGGAGAGTTGAACCTGGCCCCGAGCACCCCCGGTGTGGCCAGCAGGATTGACCGGAGCTCTATGAGTGGTGGGCTGCACAGAGCGGTCACAGAGTGGTCACAGAGTGGTCACAGAGTGGTCACAGATTGGTCACAGATTGGTCACAGATTGGTCACAGAGTGGTCACAGATTGGTCACAGAGTGGTCACTTCATCCAGTAACACCCCCACCCACACTGACCACATTCGTACTCTTCCATGGAGCTCTGCCCTGACCTGAGCTCTGTGCCAGTCGCCTTGCTGCAGCGCCTCAGCGCCATGCAAAACCCCACCCCACCCACCTGAACCGCCCTCCACCCACCAGCACCACGCCCCTAACCACCAATACTGACCGCACTCGTATTGCTCGATGGAGCTCTGCCCTGATTCCGACATTAGGCTTCCAAACAGCCGCCAGTCACCCTGCTGCAGAGCCTCAGCTCCCTGCAGCACCCGCGCACTCTCTGAGTAGAAATGTGCGGCGCGACGGCGCAGTGCGTCAGGTAGACGGTGCTGCCAGTGGCATAGACAGAGAGGCAAACACAGAGGGGCACAGCATCAGATGTTACTGCAGCACTCCAATCTCCCTGTTGCAGCGCTTCAGCGCCCTGCAGCACTCGCGCGCTCTCAGAGAAGAAATGTGCGGCACGGCGGCACAGTGCCTCAGGTAGACGGTGCTGCCAGTGGCGACAGGAAAAGAGAAGGAAGGAAGGAATGCCGCCTCATTCCTGTAACTCTTACGGTCGTGAATAAGAACTGCAAAAGCCAGATGACTTTTGAGTCGACTCGAAAATAGACTTGTCTCTGTGGCCCTAACGGTCGTGAATAAGAACTGCAAAAGCTGTTTTCGGAACTGCTCAAAAGCGACTGAGAAACAGGAAGACAGGACGACTGAGAAACAGGAAGACAGGAAGAATTAATATTAGAAAAAAATATTACATTGTGGGTCTCGAAGACGCGAAGAGGCACTGCAAGAGGAGGACGAGAAGGCACATGTCATGTCAGACACACGTGTGAGAAAGCAGCGCACGGAACTTTAGGCGTCTCAAAACTGTCAGGCACACGTGTACGAAAACAGCAAGTGGAATAGACGATACTGCAGTCACGCCTGCCACAAGGCTCAATAGGCAAAACACATGTACCAAACCCACGTCACTTGATACATATAACCCAGCCCACCTCATGCTACAGACCTTGCCATATAGGACAGGTCACTCCAGGTGCCAAGAAAAAAGCACCCCCCCCCCTCCCTCACGACTCAGACTGTGCGATAGAACAGGAGAAGAGGGCACGTTTAGTCCTGCTTTTGAGGCGCCTCGAAAGTAGGTGCCTAAACCCCTCCCTTCCTCCCTCGTTCCTCACAACTCAGACCTTGCGATAGAACAGGAGAGGAGGGCACTTCCATTCCTGCTGCGGCGAGAAGCATCCTGGCAGCTTCCTGGCACTCCTGCACCCTGTTGTTGTAGCCCGATGATTGAGTGAGTGCCGCCCGCATGCCTGAGAAGGCCAGCATGAAGGCCACTGGGTGAAGGGAGGGGGACTGGGAGGAAAGCTTTGAGTTGACTGAAAAACTGATTTCTGGCACTCCTGCACCCTGTTGTTGTAGCCCGATGATTGAATGAGAGCCGCCCGCATGCCTGAGAAGGCCAGCATGAAAGCGACTGGGGGGAGGGGGTCTGGGAGGCAATTTTTGAGTAGAATCAAAAACAGCTTCCTGGCACTCCTGCACCCTGTTGTTGTAGCCCGATGATTGAATGAGAGCCGCCCGCATGCCTGAGAAGGCCAACATGAAGGCCACTGGGGGGAGGGGAGCTGGGAGGCAAGCTTTGAGTTGACTCAAAAACAGCTTCCTGGCACTCCTGCACCCTGTTGTTGTAGCCCGATGATTGAGTGAGTGCCGCCCGCATGCCTGAGAAGGCCAGCATGAAGGCCACTGGGTGAAGGGAGGGGGACTGGGAGGAAAGCTTTGAGTTGACTGAAAAACTGATTTCTGGCACTCCTGCACCCTGTTGTTGTAGCCCGATGATTGAATGAGAGCCGCCCGCATGCCTGAGAAGGCCAGCATGAAAGCGACTGGGGGGAGGGGGTCTGGGAGGCAATTTTTGAGTAGAATCAAAAACAGCTTCCTGACACTCCTGCACCCGGTTGTTGTAGCCCGAGGAGGAGGTGAGAGCCGCCCGCATTCCCGAGAAGGCCAGGATGAAGGCCACTGGGGAGAGGAGGGATAGGGGAGGGAAAGTGTGAGGGAGAGAAGGTGACGAAGCGAATAAAACTCGGTGAGGGGGGTAGGGACATTTTCACCACCTTGGGTTGTTGTAGCCCGACAATTGAATGAGGGCCGCCCGCATGCCCGAGAAGGCCAGCATGAAGGCTACTGGGGGGAGTGGGTCTGGGCATTACAGGAAGGAGAACGGATGGAGACTATGACGACTAAAACTCAGTAAGAGAGGTAGGGCCATTCATTGCCTCGGGTTGTTTTAGCCCGATGATTGAGTGAGAGCCGCCTGCATGCCTGAGAAGGCCAGCATGAAGGCCACTGGGGGGAGGCGGTTTGGGAGGCACAGGGGATGATGCCTAGTTTAACGCACAGGAACTTTGCGAGCATGTGTGTATCACTTCTGAAAATTTCTCAGAACCCGAGCACAAGGATACTGACTCATATGCACCTTCGTTATTGGGTTCAGATGGTGTTTTGCTAGGGTATGCGTGTATCAATTCTCAAAAACTCACAACCTGAGCACGAGACGACTGATTCATATGCACCTTCTTTATTGGGTTCAGATGGTGATCCGGCAGGGAGTGGAATGAAGTCGTGGCGACGATCCTGAGCAAGAGGGATGGGATTATGGGACAATCAAGGAGAGGTGGTGGTAAGGCTGTCATGCAACTAGGAATGAGGCACAGGTGCAAAAGGAGGGACAGGTGGAGTGTTGGATAAGAGGCAGAGATGGAAATTGAAGGGATAGTGGATGACCATACAGGGTAAAGAATGGTGAAGTGCGGTCCGGGGAGGTGAATCAGCTGACCTGGCACCAGATGCGTGTGAGGTGGCCAGCTTTCGACAGAACAATCGCTGATTGGTCCAAGACTCCGTTCCTCAGACCAAGAAAGCCGTTCTCTATGAGCCTGAAGGCAGTGTGTCGATTGGAGCAGAGTATGAGGTAGTGTGTGAGAGGAGGAGAGAGCGAGTTAGCGTGTGAGAAGGGCGCACATGTGGAAACGTGGGGGAGGGAGAGAAGAGTTACAATGCGTGCTAGGCAGCAGCGCGGGAGGATGAAAGCGAATAATAAGACATCAATGAAACGTTTTTTTGGGGCGTCAACTGCACCTGCGAGAAACGCGATGTGTCGAGTTCGACTCAAAATTTGAGCATTGAGTCGACTCAAAATTTGAGCATTGAGTCGACTCAAAACTAGGATGAAAGCGAATAAGACGTCAATGAGACGTTTTCTTGGGGCGTCAACTGCATCTGCGAGAAACGCGATGCGGTGTGCTGGCATGGACTAGGGTGCAGTGCGGTGCAATGAGGCGCACCTGTCCAGCTCAATGAGCTCCGCTGGAGAGAGCGAGAGGTTGTTGGCATCGGCGAGGGCCAATAGGAATGCGACACCTGTCTGCCTGTGCAGATGGCACGGCGGAACAGATCGGAGATTGAACCCAGACGATTTGCCAGACGGATTCAAATCAATGCAACAAAACGGAACATGTGGGGGCCTCGAAAGTCGACTCACATAAACCCCCAAAACCATATGCATTGGCATGGGGGTAGGTGCACGTGCATGTGTGGATAGGCGCCTAGGTATACCGTATATCTTTGGAGCGCCCATGCCCCAAGAAAAGGTGAAGGTGTGGATGTGCGAATGGGATTAAATTTGAGGCTCATGGGAGTATAATGGAAACACGCATGGGTACAGCTTACAGCTGCTGAGGAACTGACGCCTGCACTGTCCATGCCTGGCTGCCCGCACATCACACCCACCACTCCCTGATGTACGCAGGGGGGGATGAAATACAAAGTTTTAAAAATAATTTTGATAAGGATACAGAATTGCCAACTATCGATGAACCTGTGAATCAACTCAAACGTCACACCATGTCAAAGCCATGTAACCACCCACCCGTTCCAGTCTGTGCCCTGCTTCTAGCAGCGCCCACACTGCACCTCGACCAAAGTTGCTTGTAGATCGACTTATAAGCCACACCATGTCACACGTGGAATAAGTGTATTATTGAGACGTCTCGAAATTGTTACACGCATCCACCTACCTGTTCCAGTCTGTGCCCTGCTTCTAGCAGCGCCCACATTGCACCTCGAGCAGTGCCCCAGCACTGCTCCTCCTCCTCTGCTTCGCCTCCTCCTTCCTTCCCTTGCTTCTCTTTTGCACCTCCGTTGCGATCGTCTGGCTGCTTTTCTCTCTTCACCAGCCTTGCTTGTGTGCTGCATACACACATTCACATGCCATATGAGCAATCACCAACCCACACCATCACACACGGAACAGTCAGTTTCTTTTCAGGCGTCTCGGGACGAGGTTCTCACATCTGGCTGCTTCTGTTGCTTCACTGGCCTTGCTTGTGTGCTGCTCACAAACGCAGTTGTGCCATGCCATGCACGTTGTGACCATAAGACAATCAATGGCGATCAGATGCATCCCAGAAAACACGAGCCGAGGGATCAATGTTCATCGTGGAGTAGCAGCAAACCCAATGTGCCAATCAATGGCGATCAGATGCATCCCAGAAAACACGAGCCGAGGGATCAATGTTCATCGTGGAGTAGCAGCAAACCCAATGTGCCAATCAATGGCGATCAGATGCATCCCAGAAAACACGAGCCGAGGGATCAATGTTCATCGTGGAGTAGCAGCAAACCCAATGTGCCAATCAATGGCGATCAGATGCATCCCAGAAAACACGAGCCGAGGGATCAATGTTCATCGTGGAGTAGCAGCAAACCCAATGTGCCAATCAATGGCGATCAGATGCATCCCAGAAAACACGAGCCGAGCCGAAAATTGCATTGCACAATGCTTCTGAGCTGTAGCGACACGACACGACAATGAGCTGACCAAGAAATGCGCCACGAATCGAGTTGATTGAACCCACCTGAAAGAGAATTGCACGGTGCCTCTGAACTGGAGAGACGCGACAACAACCTGCCAGTGCACATGGAAAGATTGAGGCAGAATGCAGGTTGAGTGATGAACCAGCTATGTGGATTTTACTTTTGAGAATTCTCAAAAGTAAAATCCACACTGCAGGTTGAGTGATGAACCAATGCAAAACGGTGAATGGGTGTGGATCAAGAGGTGAGAGGACGACAGCGAGCAAACAAAGGAAAGAAGAAGAGGGGGAGAGGAGGGTACGAGAGGCTCACCTGGGGAGTGGGAGTGGGGAGGAAAAGAAAGCGAACCCCCGTGTTGATGGCTGCCGCAAGCACTGGACCCCCCTAATGGGGCGAGGAGGGGAAGAGGAGTGGAGAGGAGAAGAGTGGAGAGGAGAGGAGAGGAGAGGAAAGAATAAAGGAGGAGAGGAGAAAATTTAGCGGGATGACGTGGGGGACGGACTGACATCCCAGTGAGGAGACAGGAGAGTCTGAACACCATCAAGCTACGAGACTGGAATCATTGTCACGAAACATCGTCATCACTTGGTGAGCACACTTGGCAGCTGTGGTGGGATCGTGCTGAAGAGACGCTGAACGTTTCTCGCTCTCAAACCTCGAATGCCTCCATGCGGATGGATGCGCATTCGAACGTTTATAAGAGAGCATCACATTCTAGATAGCACAACGCGCGCCCGTGCGTTCTGGAGAAAATGCAACGCGAATTCGTTACCTGGTGATCGATGTGAGCTCCTAACGGGCAGATTCTGTAAGGAGCGAACGCGGTTTTCGCTTTAGTCACATCGCAGGCGAGGCCGCTGCCGTCGGTACCACCGAGGCCGCCTGGAGCGGGATGAACGAGCGGCAGCAGTTTCAGCAGCTCAGCGCGAAGCACCCCCTCCATGGCAGTCAACTTCTACGGAAAACGCCCTGCTTTCTAATACGGCTGCAGGTTTCCAAACTATGATTTGGCAAGTTTATCAGGCACGGCTGTGAAGCAAAGCCCAGAGCACGGACTGACCAAACTGGATTCGGGGATTGGGGTGGGGAGAGATTCGGGGTAGCGATAGAGCGATATAAAAAGGTAAAAAATTGGTGGATAATGGCACACTTCGGTGACCCTGCTGATGATGATGCCGAGCAGGGTTGAAACATCACATCAGGGAAACTTGGCGGATTCACTCGGTTGAGAGCGATTCGGACAGAACTCTGCCCTATGTGCATCATAAATGCCGCACAAGCACTCTATTCTCTTAGTGCCACACGTATTTACCCAAACTGACACGTCACACGAGTAAACAATCAGCATAATAGAGCTCAGCGGACGAAAAATGCCGCCCATTTTCGCGGGCCAGAACGGACAACCCCCCTCCTCGGGGTTGTCGACCCCACGACGACCACCGCGTGGAAAGCCCAGGCGAGCTGGCTGGGCCCAGTGCTGGTGACCCCTCGGGATTGTCGACGACCTGTCGACCTTGGGTTCCGCTGAGACAATCCCGAGAAGGTCGTCTCAGCCGCGTGACGTCATCCCAGCTCGGCACGCGGGGCCGCGATGATCGCCACGCGGCCAAAAAAGAGACGTCCGAGATCGACCCCTGGATGGCGGGGCCATCGTGGACAGCCAGGGTGGCCAGGGTGGCCACGACGGGCCAACGGAAGGTGGGGGTGCTTCGCGTGGGAAAACTTCGCGCCCAAGCGTTGCCAGGTCGGTGCGTACCACACGGCCATCATCCAACGGTTGCCCACATGCCCAAGGCGAAATCCGACCGTCCACTACCTCTGCCTAGGTGCAGTGGATACTGGCGGGAATGTCGGCGTCGACCAGAAGGTCTTCATCGTGGTGCCACGCGGCAGTGTCTCCCGCCCTCGAACTACCGCGCTGGGACCACGCCACGTACCGCACCACAGAGCCAGCGTGTAACACCCATGAAAGGCGCATTATGAGCGAAGCGCTTCAAGCATGCACGCCCGGTGGCACGTCGGTCACGGCGCCGCCGCACGAGCGTACATGCATAGCTGCGTCCTGCACAGGGGTTTGCGTGGAGCGCCAAGTGGAGCGGAGTCGCTCACGACCATACCAATCTGGGGTCCAATTGCAGGTCGCTCATTCTGCCTGCCGTTCTCTGTGCTTTTCATCCGTTAGCTGGCACTTAGATTTTTTCCCCGTTCCCTTGACGGCTCGCCCTTAGTTTTTTTTCCATCGGGCGATTGTCGTCAGACGTGGAACGTCGGCGTCGTCAGAATAGTCAGACGTCGGGGCCGCCGTCTCGTAGTGTTGTCTGCGATGCCGACCTGTCAGATACCGCCGACTTAGAATCGCCATGTTTCATTTCACCAACCTCACCACACCGACTTCCCATCGCGAGACCCTAGGTCGCGGTATCATGGCCGGAGCACAGCCTCGCTCGACACCGCCTCAACCGTAGCCACCACCCGCCGACGTCGACATGACGGACGTTCCGAACCCCGCTAGCCAGGGTGAGGATGTCCGCCCGGTAGATCGTACACCGAACAGTAACCCCTCGTCGACGCTGCCCCTGCTTTACGATCTCGACGCCCTGGCCCAAATCCCGAAGGGAGAGTTCACCAAGGACGTTCCACCCGCGCCCATAGGGGAGTTCACGAAACCAAGCAAAGACACGTCGGCACCGACGAATGCAGCGGAGGCCGGGCCGTCGTCGGTGCCGGACGTAGCGGGCGACCAGGGTTTAGGGTACTCCTCGGCGAGCGACGAGGACGACGAAGCCGACGCGCGGCCCCGACGTGGCCCAGGTCCGCGCACGTTGGAAGAAAAGCTCAGGGGGGAACGTGCGTTCATCGAGGAACTTCTGGACGAGGACGAGCTCGAGGATCTGATGAACACGTCGGTCCCTCGAGAACAGTGGAAGGCGGCCGACTTCGTAGAGGAAGATATGGTGTACGCGTGCGTCGACGTGCTCGTGATGGAGGCATTGCGCCACCTGAAAACCATCGAGGCTAAGAGCACGCTCCAGTCCTACATCTCATGGATCTACCACTACAAGAGGTGGGCCGCGAAGATGCTCAAAGAGATAGGCGACAAGCTGCCGATCGGGGAACGAACTAGGCACGTCGACGAGATCGGGCACTGGATCCACTGCAACAAGAGCAAGGATTGGGACAACCCGAAGGTGGTCAAACGGAAGCACATCTGGCTGCACGGCCCCAAGGTCACTCCGACGCGGCTGCGCGCCTACGTCAAGTTCATGAGGCGGGAGTTCAAGATCGACGCCGAGACGAACGCGCCGGTGCCGTCCTACACGGTGCACATGATCCTCGGCCGCATCAAGGCATGCCAGATGGCGGCGAGGGTGGAAGCGACGCTGTACAAGGAGAAGGAGTTGGGCATCATGCGAGAAATCTCGGTTGTCCGGTCGGAGGTGCGGGTCATGGTCCGCACCAAAAACCAGAGGGACAACAAGTAAGTTGGCATCCAGCGCCGTTTTCTAGTCGGTGACGATTTGTTCCCATCGCCCTAATAATCCTACCGCCGTATTGTTCTGTCGACAGTAATTGCGCCGACCGTCGACGCGGCACCATCGGCGACACATACACCGCCGAACAGTTCCGCCAGATCATGACGAGGGTGCTGCCGGCTTGGGCGGCGTCGGCATGGAGCCCGCATTTCACCACTCCCTCGCAGACGCTGTGGAGGTTCCTTCTCGTCAAGGTGCTCACGCTGCTCTCCCACCACAGCCTCATGCGCGGTGCAAGCATCCGCGAGATCACGCTCCCCGACATCTTCTTGTACCGACTGGCGAGCACCTCGTCGGTAAACCCGGATAACCAGCCGGTCGTCATGGTGGTCGCCGCGCGGAACTCGAAGACGTCGAAGGATGCGCGTCTTCAGCAGAGCTACGCCGCGCGGCACCTCGAAGCGGAATTGTGCGCCGTCGGCGAGACCGGACTGTGGCTACACTTCATCCTCGACCAGATCGGCCAGTTTCACGGCGTCGACCTCATTCCGCCGGTCGACACCAGCACACGCGAGCGCTGGTACAAGAAGCACCTGTTCTTCGCCCGCAACGACCCCGAGCAGGGCGAACTCTCCGCTGCCAGCCACCAGCGATGGACGAGGCAGATGTGGAAGACGAACGGGGTGTACTGCAAGCGGAACGTCCATGCCGCTCGGGCAGGCGGGGCGCAGGAGCTGGCCATCAACGGTACGCCTCGCGCCGAGATAGCCGAGCTGGGTCACTGGGCTCTCGACAAGATGACTCGAGCCTACATCACAGCCATTCCCGTCGGCGTGGTGATGAAGAAGGCCGGCTATTCGGGCTACACGCAGGACTACTTCTTGGGGCGCAGCAGATGTTCCGCCGCATTGTCGCCGAGGACCTCGCTGTGAAACTCGTCCGCACGCCTTGGCACCCGTACGTCCAGTATTCCAAGCTCTGCCGGATTCCCCTCTTCCAGCACTGGGCGAAGAGGGTGGAGAAGACCGACACCGAGACCATCAAAAAGCGGCAAGACCCAACCCTCATCCAGCCAGAGGTGAGTCATCTTTATGTCGACATCGCCATGAGCACTGTGCCCGATGACAACACCTCACCTGCACCGTTTTTCGCCTACATTGCAGGAGATATCGGTCCGCCATGACGCCCAGTACGCGGTCGTCTCCCTCACAACGACGCTGAAGCTCGAGAGGGAGCGGTCAGCGGTCGAGAAGATCGACCTCGAGGAGAAGCTCGAGCAGCGCGACGCTACCATCGCGTCGATGACGGACGAGATAACCCGCCTCACCGAGGCTCTCCGCGTTTCAGAAGCTCGTAGGATGCCGGAGGCGCGCCCAGCTGCGAACGAACAATCGCCGAGCGACGGTGGCTCCGCGGAGTCGGCAAGCAGGGGTGACGGAGCCAAGAAACCCAAAAAACCCCCACAGACGGTCGAGGAGGCTAGCTACGAGCTGAACGTGGTTCAGCCTTGGCGGAATGCAACGACCGTGAGGGACGCGTGGCGCCTCTGGACCTCGTGCACCAGCGCCGACACCCGTCGTCTGTGCGACAGGTTCTTCGAGCCGGGATTCGTCGACCGCCACACCCTCCTCGACGGAGCCTCGCAGGGAGCACACGGGACGAGGGTGCGCCGCATGATGAAGGTAATCGATGCCGTGCGCCAGCTTCGCAAGAGCGACGGCGAAGCCGACACCGAAGCCGTCGTCGACGCGCTTAACACGATAGCGGCGCCTGGCATTGGGACCTTCTCGGATGCCCTCACGGTGCTCAACGCGGGCAACAAACCGACCTATGCCGGGCAGGGTAAGGGCGTCAAGGGGCTCGGCAAGACGGAATTTGCCAAGCTTCGTCTCGCCAGTGCGCTCGTGGCGCGCGGGTTCAAGCCGGAGAAGTTTGTCGCCGACCTTTTCCCGGACACATGGGAGGAGGGGATGAAGAAGGCGTTGGCCGACCTGGCCCGCGAAAACGACGCCGGGAAGCTGCCTCCGACCAAGCGCAAGAAGACCGCGTGAATGCTCACAAGCAACATGCGATTGTGGGCTGTTGCATGTTGTAGATGATGTTGTTACAGCATGCATGTGTTTCGTACTTATACAGTTGTCGACTTTGAGTTTCTCACAATGCTCATGTGGTAGTTCTAACATAGTTAGTCACGTGTCGGCCTGGTATCCTTCGTGATGTGACAAGATACTGGTTCAAATGTTCATTACACATCCTACATAAAGTCGACATGCACTCACACAAGGAAACGCAAAAAACCAGCATCAAAGGGGTCCGACAGCCGAAACACACAAAACGAGATCGACCATAGCAGCATCAAATCCAAGCAACAATGAATCCAAGCTAGCAGTAGGCATAGCGCTACATATGCCCCTCCCCGACTACGCCGACTCCTTCGCCTTCTGGCCCTTCGTCCCCTTCTTCTCCGTGC